ACTTAGGGCCACAGAAACGTTACTTTAGGGCCACATAAAGACACAGAAAACGTTTACTGAGGGACACAGAATTGTTACTTAGGGACAGACACAGAATTGTTACTGAGGGCCACAGAATTGTTACTGATGGCCACAGAACTGTTACTTAGGGCCACAGAAACGTTACTTAGGGAACAGAATTGTTACTCAGGGACAGACACAGAATTGTTACTGAGGGACACAGAATTGTTACTGAGGGCCACAGAACTGTTAATTAGGGCCACAGAAACGTTACTTAGGGCCACAGAAACTTTACTTAGGGCCACAGAAACGTTTACTTAGTGCCACACAAAGAATAGTTACTTAGGGACAGACACAGAATTGTTACTAGGGCCACAGAACCGTTACTTAGGGCCACAGAATTGTTACTCAGGGACAGACACAGAATTGTTACTTAGGGACACAGATTGTTACTGAGGGACACAGAATTGTTACTCAGGGACACAGAATTGTTACTGAGGGACACAGAATTGTTATGAGGGACACAGAATTTTTACTCATAGGACAGACACAGAATTGTTACTCAGGGACAGACACAGAATTGTTACTCAGGACAGACACAGAATTGTTACTGAGGACACAGAAATTGTTACTCAGCGACAGACACAGAATTGTTACTCAGGGACGACACAGAATTGTTACTGAGGGACACAGAATTGTTACTGAGGGACACAGAATTGTTACTCAGAGGACACAATTGTTACTCAGGGACACAGAATTGTTACTGAGGGACACAGAATTGTTACTGAGGGACAGACACAGAATTGTTACTCAGGGACAGACACAGAATTGTTACTGAGGGACACAGAAATTGTTACTGAGGGACACAGAATTGTTACTCAGCGAAAGACACAGAATTGTTACTCAGGGACAGACACAGAATTGTTACTCAGGGACACAGAATTGTTACTCAGGACACAGAATTGTTACTCAGGGACACAGAATTGTTACTCAGGGACAGACACAGAATTGTTACTCAGGACAGACACAGAATTGTTACTGAGGGACACAGAATTTTTTGTTTACTCAGGGACACAATTGTTACTCAGGTACACAGAATTGGTTACTGAGGGACACAGAATTTGGTTACTGAGGGACACACAGAATTGTTACTGAGGACAGACACAGAATTGTTACTCAGGGACAGACACCAGAATTGTTACTGAGGGACACAGAATTGTTACAGAGAGACACAGAATTGTTACTCAGCGAAAGACACAGAAATTGTTTACTCAGGGACAGACACAGAATTGTTACTGAGGGACAGAAGTTTGGTTACTGAGGGACACAGAATTGTTACTCAGGGACACAGAATTGTTACTCAGGGACACAGAATTGTTACTGAGGGACACAGAATTGTTACTCAGTCGACAGACACAGAATTGTTACTTCAGGGACAGACACAGAATTTGTTACTGAGGGACACAGAATTGTTTACTGAGGGACACAGAATTGTTACTGAGGGACACAGAATTGTTACTCAGGGACAGACACAGAATTGTATACTCAGGGACACAGAATCGTTTAATTAAAGAGTATGTCAGACAACATGCATAGGAAGTGGCAGAGGAGGCAATGTTTCAAGGAGCGAGCGAGACGTGGCAGCAGAGGAAGGGGTCGAGGCAGCACTAGTCGCAGACCAGAGGCCAGTGCTTCCCGGTGTCATCCAGCGGTCGTGTCTCACCGACAACCCTGCCGTCATCGATTGGTTGGCTCGGTCGTCTTCTTCCTCTTCCCAGGTCACCTCTGACACCTACAGCCAACGGTCGGTGGGTACGTCAGACACAACCGTTAGTTGGCATGGCCCGGGAGCAAGCCCACTGAAAATCACGTGTCCTCGACCTGCCCCTGTCCTTTGGTGTTCCCTCACCAAGCGAAGTATCGCATGCTGTGGGCTCAGCACCACTGTACAGTGAGGAAGAGCTAACAGAGGGCGGTCAGGAACGGGGGAGACATCCGCCTCTTCAGCAGCCAGGCGAAGAAGTAGTGGCGAGGAGAGTGGCTCGGTAGCCGGTCTAGAGACAGGTCTGTCTCCTGACCCACACGCAGCCGAGGGGGCTAGTAGTGAGGCGGAGACCCTAATTGATGATGATGAGGCTGATCGCACTTGGCAGCCTCGTCGTCATCAGGCTATTGCTTCCGCGATCATCAGGAGAAGAGGGTGGCAGCTTGGCAGCGAGCAAAACAGTCGGTGGGTTGCCCAGGAGGCAGCAGGGTCGCAGCAGTGTCAGTGGGAGGCAAACGGCCATGGTGTAAGAGCAAACCAGCTCCACTGCAGCCTACCACCACGGCCAGTAGTGGTGCTGGAGTGCTCGGAGGAAGCAGCAGTCAGCCAGTGAGGAGTATCGGGGCAAAGTTTCCTACTCGGCGGTGTGGCAATTTTTGTCAAGCCGCCCGAGGAAGTAAACGTAGCCGTATGTCGACTATGTGGCCAGAAAGTCAAGCGTGGCCAGGGGGCCCATGTTGGGACTACAGCGTTGGTCAGCATATGCAGCGTCGCCATTTGGTGGCCTGGGAAAACCGTGATAAAGATACGACGGTTCTGCCCGCCCCAGCCCCCGCTCCATCACCCGCTCCGTTACTTGCTCCGTCACCCGACGTCAATCGCCTCTATCAGCCAGTCAAGGCTCCAACACCTCTGCTGAGGGGAGTTGTCGCTCGTTGGCATCTTCCGCTCGTTCTGATGCTCCTTCTCCTGCTACTCCTCTTCACGGATTCCGTCAGCAGTCTTTCTTGGAATCCGTTTCCAAGAGACAACAGTTTGCGAGCACGCACCCAACGGTGCAACTGAAGCTGAACGTTCTCCTGTCCAAGTTGCTGGTGCTGCAGTCCCTCCCTTTCCAAGTGGTGGACTCAGCACCTTTCCGAGAAATGATGGCTTGTGCCGCGCCGCGGTGGAGAGTGCCAAGCCGTCATTTCTTCGCCCAAAAAGGCAGTGCCAGCCCCCCCCCCCCCCTGCATTCACATGTAGAAGAGATGGTGGGTCCAGTTCTTTGAGCATGTCGGTCTCTGCCAAAAGTGCACGGCAGCGCCGACGTGTGGAGCTGTAACTACGGTCAGGGACAGTACATGTCATTTACGGCCCACTGGGGTGAACGTGGTGCCGTCACACGCCGCACCAGCAACTTGGACAGGTCACGCCGCTTTTGCCTCCACGTTTGCACGTCCTTGGTCCGGCAAAGATGTCCGCCTCTACCACCTCTTCTTCCGCCGTGTCCTCAGCCGCCACCCCCGTGCCAAGTCCCATTACCCGAACCCGCATATCACATGTGCAGGGCGCAACGGTGTCACGCTGTGCTGCACCTGGTATGCCTTGGCGAAACGTAGTCACACAGGGGAGGAACTTCTCAGTGTAAATGAACAGAGAAATCGACAGATGGCTGTCTCCGCGCAAACCTGAAAAATCGGAACCATGTTGACCGACAACGGAAAGAACATGGTGTCTGCTCTGCGTCAAGGAAAGGTTGTGCCATGCGCCATGCATGGCTCACGTGTTCAATTCTGGTTGTCAAGCGTTCCTAAAATCCACCATCCCACTGCAAGACATCCTTAAAATGTCACGTAAACTTTGCATGCATTTCAGCCATTCCTACACCGCAAAGCACACCCTCCTTGAGCTGCAGCGGCAGCAGAATGGAATTCCACAGCATCGCCTGATCTGCGACGTTGCAACAAGGTGGAATTCAACCCTACACATGGTTAGCCTGCCTTTACGAACAGCGAAAGGCCATCACGATTTCCTGATGTTACAAGCGGATAAAGGTACTCCCTGTGTAACTTCGATGTCAGCCATTGGCAGCTCATGCGTGACACCTGCCGCTTGCTCAGGCCCTTTGAGGAGGCCACGCTATTCGTGAGTCGGCAGGACTATGGGATGAACGACGTCATTCCTCTGTTGCACGTCCCTGGAACAAAATGCTGTTAACAATGGCTGGTCAGGGTGCGGTATACGTGGCGCACAGATCTCAACGCCACATGACCCCTGTGGGGGCAGGACAGGAAGAAGAGGAGGAGGTAGAGGAGGACATTGTGCTCAGGAATTATTGAGTGAAAATGGGTGGTTTTTCCACTCAGCGGACAGGAGTGGAGGAGCAGGAGCATCTGGTAGAGGAGGAGGAGGAGGAGACAGAGGACCCAGACGCACCGTGGCAGTATGCTGTGGAGATGGAGGCAGGGAGTCCCTCGCATTCCTTGGCACAAATGGGCCCATAGCATGCTCGCTTGCTTGCGTAGCGACAGCCGAATAATAACCATCAGAACAGAGGGATGACTTTTGGCTGTCCACCTTGTTGGACCCTCGCTACCGTTCAAAAATGGTGGCCTTTTTCACACCTGCTGAGAGGGAGGCCAAAATAACGTACTATAAAAAACCACCTATGTAGTCAGCTGGTCTCTGCCTTTCTGCGCCAACGTCCATCCTCAGGACACTGTGGGCCCTGTGCGCTCGCGTTCCGCTGCCATGGCAGCAGGGAGGGGTGGGGTGGTAGGAGCAGTGGCAGCTCCACCAGCAGCAGCTGCCTCAGTCTGCAGTCGATGATGAGTAGCTTTCTTCACCAGCGCGCAGTGAGGAAACTACTAACCAGCCGCAGCAGCAGCAGCAGCAGCATCAGGTGGACCTGGAGCAGGACCTCAAAATCAACAGGCTTGGGCCTACTTGGACAGCACCCTGCCAACCGAGGTAGACAATCCCCTGACTACTGGGCAACGAAACTTGACCTTTGGCCCCAACTAGCTGAATTTGCCCTTGAAAGGCTGTCATGCCCGGCCAGTAGCGTGGCATCGGAGCGCGTGTTTAGTGCGGCAGGAGGTATTGTAACTCCGCGGAAGGACACGACTGTCCACCCAAAGTGTGGAGAGACTCACGTTTGTGAAAATGAATCAGGCGTGGATTAGTCTGGGATTTCAAACCACCAGTTCCTGACACAACTGACTAAATCCGCCATGAATCATGCCCCAAACATGTGCCACTTTCAGGTCTCCTCACACTGCTGGTGTGTTCCATTTTTTGTCATAGGGTGCTGGCAGATTACGGGCCTCCCATTGCTGCTGCCAGGCCCCGTAATCTGCCATGGGCCCCTGTACCGCCTCCTCAATGCTGCTGCCAGGTCCACAGTGTCTCATGGGTCCTGTACGGCCTCCCATTGCTGCTGTCTCCATCGCGACACTCTGCCATGTGCCACGTTCAGGTCTCCTCACACACTGCTGGTGTGTTTCCATTTTTTGTCTCATAGGGTGCTGGCAAGATTACGGGCCTCCCCATGCTGCTGCCAGGCCACTAATCTGCCATGGGGCCCCCTGTACCGCCTCCTCATGCTGCTGCCAGTCCACAGTGTCTCATGCCATGTGCCACTTTCAGGTCTCCTCACACTGCTGGTGTGTTCCATTTTTTTGTCATAGGGTGCTGGCAGATTACGGGCTCCCATAGCTGCTGCCCCAGGCCCCTAATCTGCCATGGATGCCCCTGTACCTCCTCCTCATGCTGCTGCCAGGTCCACAGTGTCTCATGCCATGTGCCACTTTCAGGTCTCCTCACACTGCTGGTGTGTTCCATTTTTTGTCATAGGGTGCTGGCAGATTACGGGCCTCCCATAGCTGCTGCCAGGCCCCTAATCTGCCATGGGCCCACTGTACCGCCTCTTCATGCTGCGGTTGCCAGGTCCAGAGTGTGTCATGGGTCCCTGTACGGCCTCCCATTGCAGCTGCCAGGAGGCAGCAGGGTCGCAGCAGTGTCAGTGGAGGCAAACGGCACAAGGAGTAGAGCACCAGCTCCACTGCAGCCTACCACCACGGCCTAGTGGTGCCGGTGTGCACGGAGGAAGTAGCAGTCAGTCAGTGAGGAGTAGCGGGGGCAAAGTTTCCTACTCGGCGGTGTGGCAATTTTTCGTCAAGCCGCCCGAGGAATAAACGTAGCCGTATGTCGACTATGTGGCCAGAAAGTCAAGCGTGGCCAGGGGGCCCTGTTGGGACTACAGCGTTGCGTCAGCATATGCAGCGTCGCCATTCGGTGCCTGGGAAAACCGTGATAAAGATACGGCGGTTCTGCCTGCCCCAGCCCAGGGTTCCATTTTGTCATAGGGTGCTGGCAGATTACGGGCCTCCCATTGCTGCTGCCAGGCCTTAATCTGCCATGGGCCCCTGTACCGCCTCCTCATGCTGCTGCCAGGTCCACAGTGTCTCATGGGTCCCTGAACCGCCTCCCATTGCTGCTGTCTCCATCGCCACACTCTGCCATGTGCCACTTTCAGGTCTCCTCACACACTGCTGGGTGTGTTACATTTTTTGTCATAGGGTGCTGGCAGATTACGGGCCTCCCATTGCTGCTGCCAGGCCTGTAATCTGCCATGGGCCCCAGTACCGTACCCTCCTCATGCTGCTGCCAGGTCCACAGTCTCTCATGGGTCCCCTGTACGGCCTCCCATTGCTGCTGTCTCCATCGCCACACTCTGCCATGTGCCACTTTCAGGTCTCCTCACACACTGCTGGTGTGTTCCATTTTTTGTCATAGGGTGCTGGCAGATTACGGGCCTCCCATTGCTGCTGCCAGGCCCGTAATCTGCCATGGGCCCCCGTACCGACTCCTCATGCTGCTGCCAGGCCCGTAATCTGTCATGGGCCCCTGTTGTCGCTTGTTGGCATATTCCGCTCGTTCAGATGCTCCTTCTCCTGCTACTCCTCTTCACGGATTCCGTCAGCAGTCTTTCTTGGAATCTGTTTCCAAGAGACAACAGTTTGCGAGCACGCACCCGACGGTGCAGAAGCTGAACATCCTCCTGTCCAAGTTGCTGCTGCCAGGCTCGTAATCTGTCATGCGCCCCTGTACCGCCTCCTCATGCTGCTGCCAGGTCCAGAGTGTGTCATGGGCCCCCGTACCGACTCCTCATGCTGCTGCCAGGCCCGTAATATGTCATGGGCCCCTGTACCGCCTCCTCATGCTGCTGCCAGGTCCAGAGTGTGTCATGGGTCCCTGTACGGCCTCCCATTGCTGCTGCCAGGCCCGTAATCTGCCATGGGCCCCCATACCAACTCCTCATGCTGCTGCCAGGCCCGTAATCTGTCATGGGCCCCTGTACCGCCTCCTCATGCTGCTGCCAGGTCCAGAGTGTGTCATGGGTCCCTGTACGGCCTCCCATTGCTGCTGTCTCCATCGCCACACTCTGCCATGTGCCACTTTCAGGTCTCCTCACACTGCTGGTGGTTTCCATTTTTGTCATAGGGTGCTGTATGGCCTCCCATTGCTGCTGCCTCCACCGCCACACTGTGGCTCCACACTCTGGTTTTGGCCCCGTGACTGCCCAAATGAGTGAAGTGTGCGGTGATTCTAAGATCGACGGCACTCATCTGCATGTCATACTGACTGTCAGTATTATTTCTCTTCCCCAGCAGACTTCAAGGGCATTTAAATTAAAGGTACAGTGTTCTGCACTAATATAAAGGCTCTCTGAAGCCTAGAAACACCCTTTTATAAGTTAAATTCGCAGCGAATATATTCAATTCGAATCGAAATTTTTTCACGAATTCGCCGAATCAGTCGAATCGAATTTTTGAATAATTCGCTCATCTCTACTCAAGATCGTGCTTAAGTGGCCTTCATAGTCCATATCCAGTTGCCTAGGTCTAATAGTTGCCTTTTAAAATGTGTGAGTGGGTCCTGGTACAACAGTTCTCTGGTTACGTGGATTACCTATGTTGGATTTTTGTAGTTTTTATACATGGGTCATAGCACTTTGAATCCAATTCATTAACCTTTTTGTTTGTAAATACAATGATTGGGTTACAATGCCTGAGCTTTCGTATTTTGTGACACTGGTACCACTCACACTTAAACTCCATGTCTCTATAGCATTACTCCGTGAGCTACTTTATTAGTATCTCTCATATTTATTTAGACTCAACTTATGGATTTCCTGGATGGTTTTTGGTGGTCATGCAGCCATCTTGTCTTCAGTCTTCACTTTGCTTCCCTGTTTGGGAGCTCCAGTTTCCCATGGCTCCCAGGTTAGACCGCCTTAGTGGAGTTCCAGTTTCCCATGGCTCCCAGGTTAGACTGCCTCGTGGAGTTTTTTTTATTTTTTTATCTGGACTGATTTGTAAGTCACATCTGTGCCATTTATTGACCGATTCAGATCTGGACAGTTAAAATGGTTCCATATATCACTCTTATTATATGGCTAACTACAGAAATGTGAAGTTCCACCTGGTGGAACTGTGTGACAATATCTCTCTGGCCAACTTTGGTGGAATAATACTTGATTTTAAAAAGATGACTTTTGGATGTAGTTGATATTATGTGAAACATGGAGTGATTGTATAAAATCAGGCATATGTCTTTATATTGTTATGGAAAAACTTTTTAACCATTTTTGTACTAATAAAACATACAATTATATGTAAATTATATAATCAAATAAGGTTATTTTATAAACGGTGACAGGCTTGTGATAGCAGTGAGCTGAAGTCTTATTTTGTGCACCAGAAATGTGGATTGCTTTGTTTTTCCATGCTGAAGTAAGCCAATTTTGTTTAACTTTCGGGGGAAAAAAAAGACTTGCTTTTACCAACACAATTGGCGGTTGATCCTGTGCTTCTGACAAATATTGCAGTACATAAAGAGTGATGGGTTTCTCTATGACGGGGTCAGGTAATCTACTGGTTGACCGTGGCAGCCGACAGGTAAATCATGAACATGGCTCTCCTTCTCCCAGCCTCTGCTGCTCTCATATTTACTGCAGAGGGAAGAGCGGGGAGGCAGCCTAGTGTTGGATGGATGGTGGGGCGGGAGCTGCCTCAGTTAACCTTTTGAGTTAACCAGAGGTGATTGGTTGCTAGGCGGTCCTAGAAACCAATCACCAGCTTGTTTCTATGCAAAGTTAACTCCGGCGGCTCCTGCCATCCATCCACTATGCACTCCCAATCTCCACTCTGATGTACACACACTGTCAGGTAGGAGAGTGCTACCTACACAGTGGTGTGCGTGTGTGTAGGGTGACAGAGGATACTTTTTTTTTTTTGAGGGGGGGGGGTGATGTGAAGGGGGGGGCAGAGAGGATACAGTTTTGGGGGGTACAGGACACTCCTGGTGGTTTGGAGGGTGACAGAGGAAAAATACAGTGAAGGAGGGTGGTGATATGAAGGGGGGCAAAGGACACTGCATTGGGAGGGTACAGGACACTACTGTGATGGGGATTTGAAGGGGGGCAGAGGACACTACTGTGACAAACTTTGTGTTCCTTTTTTGGAAGTGTGATAGTTTTTCTATTTCTCAAAGGGTGCTGCCCAATATGCTCAATCCCTTCAACCCCTGGAAAGTTGCCTACCCTGCTCTATGGCCTATGACATGGTCTTGATTTGTGTACTACTGTCCACTTTTTCACATTTTGTTTTTGTATTTTTTTTTATACTTTTGATTAGTTTTTTTTTCATATTCCCAGGTACCGTGTTTAGTACTAGTCCTTTCATAGTTGTGAAGGTTGAATAAAGACACTCAAGCATTCAGTTCATCCTGAGTGTTTTCCATTGTTTTCCTGTTCCGTATCCCTATACATTGTGTTCATTAAGAAACACATCTAAACGTTTTTTGAACTTCTCTACACGCTCTGCTGATATCACCAACTATGGAAGAGAGATCCACAATCTTATTACTCTAATAGTAAAGAACCCCTTACACAGTTTAAGGTTTTTATCCAACTTCATATTGTGGATGCATGTTTTTATTTTTTGTTTGTTTTAGAGACCTAACATTATAAAGTTTAATACCAATGCTAGAGTCACCATTCAAGGATTTCTATATTGCAATCATATGGCCTCTTAAGCGTCTCTGGGAGAGTAAGTTTAATGTTTGATGGTTGTTTCTCATACCATGGCGAAAATAATGATTTGATCCTCTGCAGATTTAAAATGAAGAAATGAAGGGTCTATAATTTTTTTATCATACGTGTATTTCAAATGATAGAGACAGAATATCAACCAAAAATCCAGATAAAGCATGATTT